AAAAAAAAAAAAAAAAAAAATTCTTAAAGACAATTTTAAAAAGAATCACATCTTTGAATAAAACAATTTCATTTTAATTATCAGTTTCTTCAAAAAATAACTTCTTAAATAATTTTTATTTTTAGCCTGTCCAAACGTATATTTTTTGTTAACTGGTCAAGTGATTACAGAGAATAGTTTATTTTTTAAATTTTTACATTTGAGATTTTAGACTTTTTTAATTTAAATTTTGATATGTTTTCGTTCTGCTAGCCAAGAGCTAGTATTTCATGGGCAGAGAACGCGAGAGATGAAAATTAATACAACTCGGGCAACACAAAAAGTTCAGAAACTTAATTTTTCAAATGTCTTCTTAAACTTTTACATTATTTGATAATAATTAACAAGAGAGGAATGATTATGCTTTTACGGGAGCATGTTAATGTAGGGCATTACAACGTATGCGTTAATTGTTATATTATTTAGAATAGAAAATAGAAGATCTATGTTTTAATTTGATGTTTTAATCATAATGGACTTGCATCAATGATTATCGTCTCACATTGAGCCGACCAATTTTTGTCTTTTCGGTCATATTTATGAAATCGTCTCGCTTTTTCATCGATTCTTATTTCTCAATTGGAAATAAACTTTGCGGAGAGTTAAATCTACCTATTCTTAGCACTTCTGTATTTTTAGCATTTTTAATCTTCATATTTTTAGGACGAACTTTTTCAATGTTACTTATTTGACCATGCACACATGAAATAAAAATAGTGTGATAATAACGACATTTTCATTCTGTACATATGCTATTGAAATAGAATGAAGACTGAGGGAAAGTGTTATGAATAAAAAATTTGTTTGATCGAGATGTGCTAAGAATATACGAAAGTTCGAATATATTATAATACTGTGATTATATATAATAATTTATCCCCAAGTCTGTTTGAACAAGTGCCTGCTACAAATTTTGTACAATTGTTATTATCAATTAAGTCTGCAAATTGGCGGGAGAAACCGAACAGGATCATCATTTTCTAGTCATTTAAATGGAATAGTGATCGATATTTAAAGACTTCTAATATTTGATTCGATAGTTCCTTCGCTTCCCATTATTGCGACATACTTTCCCGTATTTAAATTTCATCCGTTAGAAATGGATATAAAGTGTGCAAGGCACAGCTATTAATACAAGATCAAAAGTGTAGTAGCTGTTTCTATCAGTTTAATTTCTGATATCTAATACAAGCTCAATAGGAGATAATTATTTAAATTTACCTATAATATATATCACATTAATATGTGTTATATTATTACTGTAGTTGGTCTTAGTTTTGCCGTCAAACTAACGTTAGAAAATGACGTCTCGTGGAAGTGACATATCGACGAGACATTTTCGGGTCTCATGAGACCTAACTTAGGCTGTCTAATTGGTTATTTTGTGACCAAAATTTACTGTCATTGTGACGTCAGTTTGCTACTTGGGTGGACTATTACATGACTGTAACAATCATATAACATTTTAGTAACATGTTATATTCATGTTATATAACTGCAATTTTGTATGAGTGGAAAATTACAACTAACGTGAATGTTACATGTAACAAATACGTTATATTACTTGTTACATTCCGTTTTATTATGGCAATGTTACAGTTATATATCTGTGTTTGCTGGGAAGTTTTGCGTTTTGAGCCCGCTGCCAGCGCGTGTAGAGGGGATACGTACACAAGCGTGAACCGTGTACGTGTAATGCGCAAAACGCTCTGTGTACGTATCCCCTCTACACGCGCTGGCAACGCAAGACTTGCACACCGCCAAAACCAGAGACGAAACACAAGAGGCGCACGCAGCACTATGTTACATAAATGTTATATTTATGAGGAAAATAATAACCTAACTGATTAATCATCGGTGATATGCACCTGTAATATTCAGTTTTATTGCACTTACATAACTTTAATATAACTATATTTACTGAAATCGAATCAAATATTGCGAATGATCATAAATATTTCAAGACTCTATTGATAATAATATATGTGAAAATAAAAAGGAGGACGTTTTGTGCTGTCTGGGAATGATTGGTGAGATGTAACCTTTTCTCGCAATAATTATCTAAAATGGCTAGGAGCTGTAGATTCTGCTCGGTTTCTGCCGCCAATCTGCTATCAGATTCTATGAGCAGGCTCTGCTGACAGATCACAGTTCTAATACGGACTATGGACACAGTTGATGTCAATTTGCAAACAACTTTTGAATAAATCTGTTGTCACAATTTGAGTGCATTTTGCTTATTGAATAATATACATATACCAATATTTGATTTGTGAAAACAAAAAATCATAATAGATGAGTTATTAACTTTTATTTCATCATACAAGACACATAGTCTGTTCTTTATAGCTGAACTGACTGCACTAGTTCAGAACTTATCTTTCTCCTTCCAATATGGAAAGAAAAAGATAAACTCTGAACTAGTGTAGCCAGTTCAGCTATAAAAAACAGATCCATAATCTATCACATTGTGTCATCTGTAATTCATTTTGAGAAGAGACGAGGTTTTAAAAATTCTAAATACTATTGTATGTATAATAATAACAGCAATAGGCACAGGGTAAGAACAATTAAGTGGGGAAAACTGGCAGATAAAAGAGCCAAGGCGCGGGTATCGGTGCGCGAACTTATTATTGTTAAATTTTATTAACTAATGTGCATTAAAAATGTACATTTTTTTGGTCCATCTTCAGCATGGATATAAATATATTAAGATTAAATTGGAATTTTAAAACGTGACATACACAACATTTGCAGTTGCAGTCAAATTCCAAATTAAAATTAATAATCAGAAAGAAGGCTCACTAAAACCTGCGTGTAATCTATACAAATAAGTGGGCAACATCTATACGTCATCGCCACACGTATATCGTTGTGACGATAAATAATACATAATAAAATTTAACAATAATATAAGTTCGCGCACCAATACCCGCGTACTAATTGATTTGTCTCATTATTCTGTACATAAAAGTATTACGGTATGTTCGAGATCGAACCATATTAATTAACATAATTAAATAAGCGCGAATGGTCTCTAAAAGGAACGCTCAAAAATTGGCGCGTTAGCTGCCATCTCGTGCGGCGCCTGGCTCGCCGCAAATCAAATCGCGCTTAGCCGGCGGCGCTCCACAAATCACGCCAGGCCCGCGGCATTGCTCGTGCCTTTCGAAGCGGGCCACGCAGCGGTCACCCGAGACAGCCAAAATTACAAACAAAAGCGAATAACAACGTTGTATTTTTCCTAATCATCGCAAACAACAGCAAGCTCGATCTTTCGCGAAAAACATGTCGAATTTTCTAGAATAAGAAAAACAACGGTTGTATAAAAGCTCTCTCGGGGAACCGCCGAGCGCACTCGATCGTGAACTCCATCCGTGACAGTGTGTGCTTATATCGTTTAAACTCTCGTTATAGAAAAGTCGCTCGCTTTTCTAATTCGTACGCTCGTTTACGAAACGCGAAGTTTTCGATTATACTAAAAGAGATTTCTCGTCGCTCGCGATTAATCTCTCGTTATTAAAACGCGCTGTTTATTCCGTCGCTCGCCGAATCGCGCCATTTACACCGTCGCTTGCGGTATTCGAGATATATCCGTCGCTCGCGGAGATTATCGTTACGCTCCCGGTCGCTCGCCGGAGCAAGCACTCGGTTAAGATTAGAATAAATCTTATCGCCAAAAGACTTGTGAACTATTTATTGTTCTTAATAAATTGACTGCTTTTTTTAAACAAAAGATTTCGTGTCCGTTGCTCACTCTATTTGCGCTCCCGGGTTCACTCGCGCACACGGTAAGATTATCGAAAACTAAATATTTTACGAGATATTTTATTTTTTATATCAAAATATTATATATATATATATATATATATATATATATATATATATATATATATACATATACGCACGCATACACGCATGTACCCGTCAAATTTTTATTGTTATCGAGTATAGTCTGGTCTAAGAATTCAAAACATCGTTATTGTTTGCATATCAGAGCGAAACAAAAATGAAAATGATATATAAAATATTCTAAAGGAAGTTACTGAAACTCAATCAGCTGTCATATGTAAACGCATATAAGGAGCAGGGAAAGTAAAATATT